CAAAACAAACCACTACTGATTTTTTTTTTTTTTTTTTTTTTTTTTTTATCTGATGAAAAATTGAAAATAGAAGAAGTATGATCACCCTTGATGTGAAAGAGAAACTGATACGATAATTTACATTTCCGATGATATGTTTTCACAGTTCTGAAAACAAAATGTTCATTGTCAAGATAATTTAAAACTAAGGGATAAAGCGGACCATTATTTTATTCAGATTTGAAAATGTAGTCAACTCTGGAAAAGTCTACCCACGTAAAGACATTATTACGTGGAATTTCCCCAAAGATTCGGTATACTATGAGCAGCTGTAATCTCTCTCTCTCTCTCTCTTCCTCCCCCTCTCTCCTTCGCTCCCCGTGTCTTTCTCTCTTAGGCAAACAAGACAAACATGCCATTTGCCATGTGTATTTTTATTCTTTTTGCTTCCAAAATCTTTATCCATGCTTCATTGACCACGAATGTGTATATCCTTAAGATGTTTTTATTGCAACCACGCAGTGAGATTTTCATTCCCCCCCCCCCCTCTTTTGTGTCGAACAATTTGCACTAAAACTACTTGATATATACGGAGAAACAAAATCGTACCTTCTTATTCTATGACATACTGAAACATGTTTTCATTATTAATAATATTCACTGTACCCCCTCCCTCCCCTAACAAATTAATAAAGAAAAAAAAACATAATGGTATACATGTTTATGAGTAATCTTTAGGCAACTATTGGCCCAACTCGGGTAATTTTTGCTTAAATACTAGTACGAGAAGATCGCGACTGGCCACCAAATTACCCCAAAGTTGGTCGGACATTAATCACCATCATATTAGGTAAATTTACCAAATATGTTCTTATCAATTTTGCACATGTTTATCGTAGAAACAAAAGACACATAAATCATTTTAGACCCCCACCCCCAACTTTGCCCTCACACATTAGTGAATATTTTTAAAACAAGTCTCCGTTACGTACACGTCTTAAAGGTAAAGACCAGTATTGGAAACGCCCCAATTTCAAAAAATGAAATGGAAGCTCTCATTACCAATCATGTGAAAGGATATGTTTTGACTAATACATGATGATAAAAAATTTGCCGGGAAACCGCCTACTAATTCATATATTTGGTAAATTTGTTTCTCTCATGGTCTGTGAGAGATATAGGGTAGTCCCATATACATCTTTCTGTGTATAGTGCTTGTAACTTTACGAAGAATGGGCCAAATTTCTTATCATTTTGATGATTCCAGAACCTTGCAGATGCTAGATGCTAGATGATCAACCTTTTCTGATCGATTCCACAACGTTTCTTTCACAATGCAATCGCATGACCATAACTGGACTTTACCTTTAAAATCAACTGTATACTGCTTTTTCAGGTGGAATTACCATTGAAGTACTTGGCGTTATAAGATGGTGTTGACAAGACTATTATCATTTCTCAGTGACCTTGGACGTGTCACACTACCGTGATTTCCCTTGAGAATTGATCCAAACTGTGTCTACCATTCAGCCAAGGTGTCATAATAATAATCGTTGCTCGGGGAGCTGATGAAATTTAAAGATCTTTGAGAGAAAGGGAAGACGTGGAACTACGACACAGGCGGTCCAGTTAGAGGGGAGCCTACCTCAATGACACATTACCTCAAAAGAAAGCAGGTAAATCAGTGATGCAGATTTTTGAAAGGCGGAACGAGATCGGGAAAACGATAAAAAGTTTATGGATTTTTCAAAGATGTAATCACCATGCACATGGGAATTTCAAATTGGCTGAATCGGTAATGGCTTTGATGTGATGACTGATGTAGTGTCGGAAAGTCTCCCTTTTTTCTAATACATAAACTGGTTACTAAACAGTCATATTTTTCCAAAATATAATACTGAGGAGGATAATTTACGTTCCGAGGACCTATGATTACATGCCAACCATATCCCTTGAACAAAGCCCAGAGGGAAGAGGCGTTTAGGAGAATATCATAAATGAAGGATATATTGTTTACATGATACACAGGAGAGTTGTCCGCGACTATACGTCATAATCCACTGACTTAATTGCCACATTAAGTTTCGCATAAATCAAGTGATCTCATACATCAAACATTCATACCTCTCATACTATTTGTCCGATTTACTTTAGCATTTCGCCATTCTGTTTACTCTAATATTTTGGTTTCTCACAAATGAATTTAATGCAAAAGCAGGATTGCCCTTTAAAACTCATGAATATGCGGATATGGTGTTCGTAAAGTCGGTGGCAATAAGGTGTCAAAATCGTGAAATCAAATAAGCTCACCTATGGATGTCATTCGCGAAATGGGAGCCGGTCATTAACCTGAGCTATTAGACGATGTTTCCGACATTTTCATGATTGCTAAAATGGGAAGTCATATATTACGTTATGTCTCTTACTGCATGATGGTTTGTTCATTGTTAATAGTAATTTGTGGATTCTTTTTCAATAATTATATAGAGCGCCTTTTGATGCCTTTTTGAGTTAAATAAAGGCCCACTTTAAAGGGAACGCCTGTTGAATTCTCTAAGCGATTTTTTTTTGTTTTTGTTATAATGATTTCATTGGAAGTAATATATGTTGGTATATGAGACGGTGTATTTCGAGGGCTTGCTCAGTTATTACATGTTGAAAGTAATTAGTGGATTCTTTCAAGAACTATAGCGTCTTGTGGTGCATTATGTGTTATTTAAAGCCCCACTTCAATAGGTTCAATGCCTATGCATGCTTGTTGAATTGTCTAAGTGATTAAGAGTAAAACGACCTACAAATCATTTCATTGGAAGTCGATCCACTCCGACTTTATAGACTGCAGGTAAATGATAGAAATCGATCAGTAAAATTTGAGGAAATTCCGGTGAAAGTTATGAGTGGTTATAGTTGCTGTTTTTTATTATTTATAAATCTTTATTCAGATACATAATGACAGATAAAATCATACATAAATATTTATAACAAGCACTTAATCACATGTTTAAATGAGATAAAATTATACATCTATATATAGCAGATTGTAGATGTATTTCCTGTAAAACAGCAATTATCTTCATAAGTTGTTACAGTTGTAATTAAACGCAGAATGGCAAATTCGTGGCGTAGGCCTTCATATCGAGTATTTTTCCCTCATGTAAAATTTCCTGAATATTTGCCTATTTCTCCCCTCGATCCCCCTCTGTCCCTCATTTTGTTCTTATATTTTCTTTCCGAAGTGTGAGGGGCGGCACTCCTCCTGGACCTCCTTTTTTCTACGCCATTTGTGTATTACAATGTAGATATTGTTACAAATCTAGGTAATCATGATATCTAAATAAAACACATTATTCCGGATTTGTAGGGGCGTTCCGAACTCAAATATTTAACATCTATACAATTACATGATATATCATTTGTTTGGATGAGATATGCACACAATTGAGAAGACGTAAGTAATTGGATATGATATAGGCAAGTTAGATAATTACTCGGTAAAAAATTTGATTATTTTTGCTGAATATTTTATTTATATGAACTGCGTATGTACGTTAACATATTGAAAACAAACAGTAAGTTGGATGGTATATCGAACTCTCTTTATCTGATTTGAAGTATGAATTGGTGTCACATTTAAATTCTAAAACAAAAGCAAAAGTAAATGAAAAACAGGTAAAAGCTTCGACTGATATGCTAAGATCATGTTTTAATTGTATATGTATACATGCAGGCCTATATGTTATTGTGAACTGTGTAGATATGTGAAATAAAGTCCCTTGAAAGGGTATTCTAGACAGGTTTATGTCAAATGAAGATCCTTAATGATAGCATTTAACAAAGATAAGCGGTGTCAGACAGAGGCCAATTATCTAGATAATAGTTATCTAGATAGTTCTTAGCCTGTCTGTCACCTGTCTGTCACCTACGAAAGTGAATTATCTAGATAGCTATTATCAGAATAATTCAAGATGGATCGGGAAAATTGTGTCTGACACCACCTAGAGTCACATGATTACAGTAATTGTAATGCAAGAGGATATCCTTTAATTTAACCGAGTTTCAGACTATGGTCTTCTGCTCGACTTTTTAAGAAGAAAAAAATCACAAACATGATTTTTTTTTTTTTTTCACCATCACCAAACAAATGCCTGATTATAAAACAAGAAAGTAATCTGAATGGATTGAAAAACTTGAAACTTGTATGAATACTTAATGAAAGTCTCACTGTGTTATCTATAGTTTACAAAAAACGAGGGATGTGAGATTTTGCCCCTTTTTGTTTTATGTATATTTCTTTTTTCTCTCGATCTGGGCAAAAAGCTCATAATTATGAACAACTGAAAGAATCTCTGGGTTAAACACTGTATTACATGTTTTGCTCGGCTTATTAGTAAGACTGGAATATTAACCCGTTGGCTACTGAATTATCCAATTCCCATAGGCTTTACACAGGGACCACCAGGTTCCCGTAAGCAATGGGTTAACATTAACTTTAATATGCATATTGATATTGATTTTGATATTAAAATTTAATTCTGCAGGCGTGGACGAATGTAAGTGGTATCTTCAAAAATGAATTTATTATCCAAACTTGTGTAAAACATCAGCAATCTCAAATGCTAATAACACATTTACAGTACAATCAATTAAGAATAATAATTGGAAAGGGAAAAAAAGAAGAGGAATGAGAAAGAATAAAAAGAAGAAGACAAAAATAAAAACACCTCTCAAACACAGTACATGGACATACCATTGCATAACACTTAGTCGGCAATAAACACACATTAACCATGTAAAACTTCAATGTCCAGTTGTTGAAATGTAATGCAAGAATGTTGAATGTAAGTGTTATTGGTAAGTGACAACAAGTTTGCGGCCCCGGCTCGCATCGCCAATACACCGATCGCAGCATTACCCCCTTAATTAGATAGGCATATTAATAATCATAGATTATCAAAATCTAAAGCAAGCATCCCTTTACCATAACTGAGTCTAAATTGGGGCATGACTAAACGTGTACTCACCGATAAAAGGAGGAGGGAAGCAACCGCTCTCATTTTGAAAGTCAATCGTCCAAACAACATCAGAACAAAAGTTTAACTCCTCAACCACCGAAATTGTGTACAGGTATTAAAGATCCAACGTAGTTTGCGGGTATCTACGAGCGCGAGCGCTTCCGGACCCCCGCTTGAGCCGGGGAGAGTTGGATTGCAGATTCGCTGGTCTCTCAGTGCGTGCCACTGAACGAGGATGGAAATATTAATACGTCCGTGAGGTGTGTGTTCACTGGGCATGTGTGATGTCAATAAATGAGTTAGCATTGACTCAGCGCGTGTGTGTGAAAGAAATACGTCACAATTTATGAAAACAATTTCGTCACAGTTGATCTGCCAGGTTAAGTATGACAATAAAACGTACTGCGTGCGAAGCGCATGGGCAAAAAGTGAACTACTAATCATATTACATGGAAAAAAACGTGATTAAACATTAATATTTCTAGGGGGTGATGGGGGCATCAGTGTCCTTGCCGGGTTTAAAAACAAACAAAAGTGAGCTGTCAGAGTTTGTAAAAATGTAATAACTTTAATCAAAAAAACATTTTGCCCCCTCGGTCTTGGTAAGATTTCGCCCCCCCCCCCCCTTTAGTCGATTCTTGGCTACGCCACTAAATTGCGTGTAGACATGTTGGAGTAAAATAACTAGATCCCCAGTTTTTCGTATTTGACCGGACTGGTCATTTTTCCACAACGAAATTGTGACTTGTTTATGACTTGTTCGATTTTTTTTCATAAATTGATACTACTCCAAAATGATTCCTCAATGGCCACCACCTCTCTCTCTCTCTCTCTCGCTCTCTTTTTACCCCTTTCTCTCTCTCTGTCTGTCTCTGTCTCTCTGCCTATACCCCTCTCTCTCCCCCCCCCCCCCCCCCCCCCTCTCTCTCTCTCTCTCTCTCTCTTTCACTGGTCTTCTTCTCTTTCTGCTATTTTCCCTCCTTTCCCGTTTGTCCACACTATCTCCCCCTTACTGTTCTTATTCGTTTTTGTTTCATTTTTGTTTGTCTGTCATGTTTTTTTTTTTCATTCCGTAATTTTCAAAATTCAGTTATGAATGTTTAAAGTTTAAATCAATATTGTGTGAACCTACACCTTACAAGCATTGCTTCCAAGTAGGTGCGTTTTTCATTTCGTGGAGCCAAATAAAACAAAATTACTTTGATGTTCAACTATGCAACAACCACGGGAAAATCCCGTTCCTCATCTATACTCGGTGCTCTACCGCAAGGTAGAATACTTTATCTCCGCACTGGCTATTGTGTTCATCAATCATCGTAATGGTATTTTCTCACTAATTCCCTTTCATTCTAACAACTGGACTGAATAGGATTGAAATGTGAGATTTTACGAAGAAAAAAAGAGTTCACTGAAATACTCATGAATTTATCGAAAAATCGCTTCAATTTGTGATACAAACAAAATTAATTTGTTCAAATTTTTTGACCACTCTTTAACATCCACCATTATGCACACTGCATATAAATTGAATATTTATTATGTGACTTGATCGAATATAACACAATCGCAAAGACACTCGAGAAATGAACCCAATGGCTTAAATACCCTATTGCATGTCATATATAAAATATAATATAAAAGAACGAACTATTATTATTATTATTATTGATCATGTGATCATGATATTGTCCTACTGATTTTCGAGAATCGTTGCGGTCGCGTTTCATGCACAATCAATCTTTTTCAATCTTGAAAATGAAATGTCAAGTAGATATCAATGTGTTGTAATCACATGGTTTTTTTATCCTATATTACCTGTTTATTTTTTCCCTAACTTTAGTAACTCTCGCAACTATGTCACTTATTAGTTGTATATGGACATTTTCTAGTATTTCATGTTAACCTCCCCCCCCCCGCCCCCCCCCCATGTATTTTGTATGTGGCAGCAGCGTGTCATTGTAAATATTTTTTGTACTGATTGACTTAACCTGCTTTTTGAAGAAGATATAAATAAATAAATTAATATAATTCATAACTACATTTACTTTATCAATCTTGCAGTTACATGTACCATTCACAATCTCAATAACTTAGAGTGTTAATAAGCTCGTTTAAAATCCTTCTCATAAAGACACTTTTCACGTGCTTTCATGAAGCAATCTCCCTTAAGCTATTCTCCAGAATCTTTCAAATCCATTAGAAAAATCATCTCTTTGTAGCTTAATGCTAAGCTTTATACATTGTAAGTATCCATGTTATACTCGATTACCGTAATTCGATCTAAGCATGTTAATGTTTAAGCTATATAACTTTGTTATCAATAGTGTTATTATAGTGTCCGTACACGTGTCTACTATATATATCTTGATTATACAGCACTTATATGTAAGACAATACAATATATTATCATTCTTATCATTTTGTGACAAAGAAACAAAATTGATCGTTTTATTTTTCATTTCCTTGATCAACGTACCAGGATATTTCGCCATTATACGCAGCCTAGTTGACGAAGGTCACTTTTGTCACTTGAGGGCTTGTCAACGTTGGCAAAAACCTCGAAACGGTATCAAGGTGTTTGAAAATTGTTGATGTTTCCTTATAATATGGAGCGTCGGTATACCAATTTCGAAGGGGTGGGGTGGTGGTGGTGGTTGGATTTGATGGATTATGTTACCTGACTGCATGTGTATGCTTGTTAGTGAGCAGGGGGCCGACGGCTTTACGTCTTCTCCGAGGGATTTGGTATTCAGGCTAACGAGAATTAAACGCCTTACCGAAGGGCACTGGTGCAACGCCTCGGTTTTGAACCATGAAACATGTCCCTCTCCCCGGGTACAAGACCACCGCTCTACTACTCAGCCATTGTGGCTTAAGTAAGCTATTACTCAGAAATAAGCAGGCCTAAGGAATAACAAATAAAAAGAAGGGGGATGGGTCCATACATTTTCAGCTTTCTGTCGAAGATCCGATAAATATTCTGACCACCCCCTCCCCTCTTCCCCCGAAAGGAAAGGGTGCGTCTAAATGTGTAGGCAGCATCTAAAAAGAAGAAATCTTAAGACATGAATCGTGCATGAGATAACCACCTCCCCCTCCCCCCTCCCCCTCCCCCCTCCCTCACGCACACCTTTCGAAATTCATGAAAGAGGGTGTCTCACCCCCCCCCCCTCCCCCTTTGTTTTGAGGAGCCAGTCTTTAGGCTGACTTAAGTCACGATTCTATCCCAAGCCTCAAGGTAGGGTGTCATAAAATGGCAAAATTTGCTGGTATCCGATAACAAAGTACCTTCATCTTTCGTGCTTTTGTGTTTGAAATTCAAACTCCTCCTTGGAAAATACCTTTACGATGTGTAATATGAGTAGATGTTCGTGTAGGTTATTACAAAGACTGTAAAAACTGGACATTACCATTTGCTGAAAGAGAGCGTGCAGTGCAGCAGACGTTCCCCCCCCCCCCCACCCTCCCGATTGGCTGCGAGGGAGGGGCAACTCTCACGGGATGAATGTATTGAATTTTGTGGGAGCTCACTCTATTACAAAGGTAACCTCGATTGACGTTAGGACCGCTATTCATAAAACGGAAAGGGGGCCACTATTCATATAGGCATAAGGACGTTATTCAAAAGGGCCGCTATTCATGATTCACATTGAGGGTCATTACTCGTTAGGACCGCTATTCATAATAGGAAATCGGGGTCGCTATTCATGAACATGAGGAAGGGGCGTTATTCATAATTTACATTCGGTTCACTACTCGTAAGGACCGCGAGGTTCACTATTCATAATACGAGAAGAGGGTGAAGAGTGATCCTCTGATTATGAATAATAATAATAAGAATAATAGCCTAATAGTCCACTCCAAATTTTATTAAACGGAACGGAAATTCTTTTTGCCCAATTGATCGTGAGCCCGGCAGCCACTGAGCAGCGCCAGATCGACGTTGCTCTATCCCTTATTGTTGAACGCCAAACAAGGTAGCAACAACTCCCATCTTTTAACGTCTTTTGGTATGACGCGGCCGGGGTTCGAACCCACGACCTCCCGGTTATGAGGCGGACGTTCTACTGACTGAGCCAACACTCCGGTACTTATAGCGATACTTATGACTAGTTTTCCTTATGAATAGCGAGTGGACCCCATTAAAAAAACCTTTGATCCATAACTGATATTACCGCCTAATTGAAAATCATCAAACTCATAAAAACAGCCTACCTGCTTTGACTGGCGACCACTGCACTTTTCGTCTGTTGATACATTTGCTGGTATCCGATAACAAAGTACCTTCATCTTTCGTGCTTTTGTTTTCGAAATTCAAACTCCTCCTTGGAAAATACCTTTACGATGTGTAATATGAGTAGATGTTCGTGTAGGTTATTACAAAGACTGTAAAAACTGGACATTACCATTTGCTGAAAGAGAGCGTGCAGTGCAGCAGACGTTTTCCCACACCCCCTCCCGATTGGCTGCGAGGGAGGGGCAACTCTCACGCGATGAATGTATTGAATTTTCATAAAACGGAAAGGGGGCCACTATTCTTATAGGCATAAGGACCGTTATTCATACGGGTCGCCATTCATAACGTGAGGTAAGGGTCGCTATTCATAATTCACATTGAGGGTCATTACTCGTTAGGACCGCTATTCATAATACGAAATCGGGGTCGCTATTCATGAACATGAGGAAGGGGCGCTATTCAACATTCGGTTCACTACTCGTAAGGACCGCGAGGTTCACTATTCATAATAAAGAAGAGAAGAGGGTGAAGAGTGATCCTCTTCTCGTATTATGAATAGGGACCCTCTTCTCCGATTGTGAATAGCGGTACTTATGACTAGTTTTCCTTATGAATAGCGAGTGGACCCCATTACAAAACCTTTGATTCGTAACTGATATTACCGCCTAATTAAAAATCATCAAACTCATAAAACAGCCTACCTGCTTTGAATGGCGACCACTGCACTTTTCGTCTGTTGATAAAGACCACCCCCCCCCCCCATCCTATGAAAGCATAATCTACACTCAAATTTCTGAATGAAATTGAAGTTGGGTATTGTAAATCGAAGAAAAAGAGAGTAAAGGTATATGTTTCTGTGCATCCTAACTGCCTCGATCATGTTAGATCTTGCTTTGCTATTTAATGGTTTACTCTTTTATAACACGGCAGTGGCATTGTACAGCGCGTAAATATAGCTTAGGTAATTTCCGAACAAATATTTAATGTCCTTCAAAGTTTTGTTTCCAAACATCATACTATAAATCAATGTGAACTTTCTGTGACTGTGTTTTCATTTTATAATTAACAGTCAGTGCTTACTACCTTCAATTTCACAATGTTTTATTTCTAATACCAATTACATTGTGTCCACGGTATATGCAAGAAGCACTCTCGATCCCACCCCCTTATTGCCCCCCCCCCCCTCCCCCAACGGGCCTCGACTCCGCTTTGTGTTGTAGAGGAGCTTGTTCATATTATCCCCTATTGGGCTAGGTCAATCGTGGAATATGACTCCATGAAAGAACAAAAAAGCTTGGTCAAATATGACGCCCCCTTGCTCTGCGGGAAGCCATAATACAAAATATTGTTCCTTTTCCTTTTTGTAAAGGTTCCTGTCATTTGACCGACAATTCCGTCATTGTACAAATAGTGTGTGTGTAAGCCAATTTATTATTGCGAATCGTATTATTACCATTGTCATTTGGATATTGTTTACTCCTGTTGTTATTTGAATACAATTCCCTGCTCTACGGAACACTGTAATTGTGTAAGAATTATTCATTCCTGTAATTGGGATTATTGTTATGAAATGTATTTTTGAGGTCTCTTTTATTTGTTATCAACAATTACAATATTAACTGAGCAAATAATGTGATTGTGTAAGCCAATGTATCCTTGTAACTCGAAGTCGTATTCGTAACATCTGAATTCCATTGACTCCTTTTGTTTTAATTATTTAAATGCAATTGTTGGTTCCTTATCGCAAGGTTATGGTTATGGTTTTCCCTGAACCAATTGCCCGTGGGAGTTGGTTCATGAGAAGCTCGTAGACAGTATGTTCCGTTTGGCTGTGTATTAAATTTACTTTTAACAATGCTAAGAGGATGAATACAAGGTTCCTTTTAACCATTAAAAACTACGAAATGTTTTATTACGAAAGAAAATGCTCTATCCAGAATTTGTTCAGTTGTGCTTTTGTTCACATATTTTGTACAGTGAAATATTGGTATGACAAGTGAAAAAAAATGGTTATTTTGTTGTTCTCCCTATTGTTTCAAAAGTACAATATATTCTATATTTTCTGATAGAATATGAATCCAAATATGATCTACCAGTAGATTTCAAATACGATAATATTTGATTTAGTTTAAAGTCAGATTAGCATTCCAAATGACAGTATAATAAATAAATGAGTACTTCCAACAATGCCTTCAGAGAGTACACAACTCAGCGGCAGGGCTTGTCTTTTCTGCTCCTCTTCGGACTCACATACAACCTTTTCGACTTGAACGCCATTGGCTGCCTGTACGACAGAGAATAGCTTTTAATATCCTACTACTGGTCTACAAGTCTCTCAACCACCGATGTCCCCCGTACATAGCTGGCTGCTTGGTTCGTCGTCCTCGAGTCCGAAATACCCGCTCATCATCATCCATCTGGCTCACTCAGTGTAAGAAACGTGTCGGTGAATTGTCTTTTTCATCGTTTGCTGCAAAACTGTGGAACCAGCTACCTACTGCTGTGCAGACGGCCTCATCTGTTGACCAGTTCAAGAAACTACTCAAGTCCCATTTATTCTGCTAGAAATTACTTTAAATTATTACCAGCCTACATATACTTTGCTGATCTCTGAGAAGTGTCTAACTTTTGTTTTTAAGTGGCCCAAACATTGTGGAGCGTGTGCGCAGCGCTTTGTAACTGCAAGGAAAAGGCGCTATATCAAATATCTTTTGGACTGGATTACATAAAGGGTTAAAAACAAGGCAAGTTGTATTTGCAATGTGTAATGGTTTTTCAAACACTACAATCCACAAACAGAATGATGCTGTATTGAAATTGAAGAAGAAAAATTACTGTCTCTCCTATATTTCAAGATCTACTAGAATATAATCTTGCTTGCTTAAAAATTCCCTTGCAGTTTATACTATACACATTTTTATAATGTCATGATTGTGATCTCCACCCAGGTGTGAAATGGGTACCCGGTAAGATGCGGCCGTCATTGTTGGCCAAACAGTTTTTGAGCGTCAAGTAACGCTTGGCTGGAATGCTCCCCAGGGAGTGAAGATTGTGCACACACAGTGTGCGGGCAAGCACTGAATCCAATGACCAGGATAATAGTATATTTGTAAAGCGCTTAGAGACATTTTGTATTAAGCGCTATATAGAAATTAAATATTATTATTATTATCTTCTATGTAGGCCTGTTCATCACAAATTCACAATACTTTTATTTCCTGTTTCTTTCCTAGAACTGTGATGCATAATTTACATATTCGACATAAATTTACGTCACGGTAGAAACTGTTTTTAATGGCCGTCATACGGCAACAACAGATGCAGGGACACACAACATTTAAATAAGAGCAGGACAATCTACGGAAACAGATAATTGAAAGTGAAAGTTTTAGTGAAATTCGATAAATAAACAAGGAAGCTGTGAAGCTCTATTTAAATCAAACACACACCACTGTGACGTACTTTGCGAGGTTCTCTTCAATTTGATTTGTTTCCAAAAAAAACATATATTTATGGTTGCTATGAAGAAAATATGTTATCATACGTGTCCTCTTGACATAATCATCCCATTTGGTTTCTACACAACCCCTGTATTAATATAAATATGTATATATTTCTTCATCAGCGACTAAGAAAATGTATATTTATGATCTTTTTTGTATAGAGAAACTAGTTAAGGAGCTCTTTCTTTCTAACCTGTTTTTCTCTTTCTTTATTGAAACAAGGTTGTTTTCTACTCGCAGACTCAAAATATAATTTGAAATATTGTATTATGCCCTATCATGCATACCTCCTTTCTAATGCGCAGATCTCCTTCCTCGTCTTCCTCTGAACCCCACATGCTGCTCATCCTTTTGTACTTCCAATCTCTCAATTCTTTTTGGGCGTTGTCTACTTTATGTATTGTGACCGTGTTCTCCTTTGTCTGGTAAAGTACTTTCTTGTCCCGTTTTATCTCTGTTGACATCCCTTTTTTCTATTTCTAGTTCCTTTTTGTAGATACGAATTTGTGAATTTAATTACTCATTATTCCCAACTATTATTTGAGGAGTCAATAATTGTACAAGCATTGCTCTTTAGTGAACCCCCTCTGTTTCCAATATGTATTCCTTAATTTGTGTCAATGATTATGATTGATTTGTAATGTTTTGCTGTAAACAGAAATACAATTGAATTGAATTGAACATTATAATACTGTACTGATGTTCTATTTTCAAACTTTGAGCGTCGAAGTAAAGCTCACTCCTAATCGCAGTAATGTTATCAATAGAAATGTAGATCAACATGGTTTACCCATGTTTTGTCATCTTTGTCAATTTAAATCAGTCTGTGAAGAAGAAGAAGAATAAAGGCACAATGTGATCATCGCTTTAAAACGATCCTACCATCTCGAAAATGATTTGGCATTGCCTTCGCAGTAGAAATTGAACATGAACTCATCGACCTGGCATTCATTGAGAATTGTTACTGTCTTTTTTTGTTTCCTTGTTTAAAATTCGATTTCAAACTTCCTCTTATATTTTTTTCTTTATCGGTTTCTTATTATTATCATTCGTCTCCCTATTCTTCCATTTCCTCATCTTCTCATCCTTCTCATTTCTCTTCTTCTTCTTCTCCTTCATTTTCTTCTCATTAATATTCTTCCTCTTCTTCCTCTTTGTTCCTTTTGTTTTTCTTATTATACTCCCGCCGCTGCACTAATGTCCTTTGGCAAGACATTGATCTACATTTGCCACACTCCACCCAGGTGAAGTAAATGGGTACCTGGTAGGAATTTATTCCTTGAAACGCAGCGCGAGTATACAGCTGCACTGCTAAAGCCAGGGTAATTATGCTGCATTATTGTAGAGCGCTTAGAGACTTCTGACAAAGTAAGTGTTAGGCGCTATATAAGCACTGTAATTATTAGTATTATTATTAATTATTTCTTGATTGGTTAAACCTTTTGTAGAATCGTCTAGATAGTCTGCATTCGTAGATGCGCTACGCACATTTTGGCGATACCCCAAATCACCTACAAATGACAGATAGAATATGCTATAACTCTGCTACGAGGATAAAAAATGAGATTATAAAAGAGTAATGTACTGCATTGTTGTTATTGGGACTCTTTATTATTTCCATTCTTGTCTTTTTGGCATTGAACGTGTTCTTCCTGCTCAACCCATTTCGATGTTTTTCTTCCACTTCCTGATATGGTTTATGTCTTGATATTTACTTTTATTAGGGTGATGTCAGGTAACATCGTTGAAGGTTGATGAAGAAATTGCGTACGTTTTGAATAAAATGTTACTTATTATATTCCTTTTACTGTACTAACCCTCTGACATGCAAAAGATCCTGAAAAAAATTCTCAAACCACAAAGATATCTTTGGTTTTCTTTGAAGGTGTCACTGTGCAATACCCTCTAACAATGAATAACAGTAAATTCTCCCTACCATTTTTGAATTTTCCCAACCGTTTTTCCATGAAAAAAAGACATGAAACAGGCTATTAAAATCTTTCAACACTTAAATGTCTGGAATGGGAAAAAGAGCCAATTTATTGCTTCTTGACGATTTACATTTACCTAAAATGTAATTAAATTGTAATAATATAGTTCGGAGAGTTAAGGATTCGATCAGATCAGTTTTCCCAATTTTTATCAATAATAATGGTCCGTTTTCACTCAAATTTTCAGATTATCTTTAATTGTACATAGCATTGAACTTCATTGAAGTCACTACCTTAGCACCACTACCTCTAATCTGAACAATGTTACCAAGTCCCTTTAAAAGCAAAGTAGATTGTGTGTGTACGAATCTCAAGCAGTCTACGGAAATGCACCACGCATCTCCACCATACGCATGTATACAAACTTATTATTTCGGGCTTATAACACGAGCTTTAGTTTTGGTATTCAAATGGAATGGGGCTGCAATCGAAACGCCCTTCGGCAACGTCAGTTTCGATTCGTGACCAAGTCTTCAAATTTGGAAACGAATTCCATTGGTCCGAGAAAAAGGAACTGTATGACAAGTTAACAACAAGTTCGGGAATTCTGTTTTGCGTCAGAAACTGTATATTTATCGCTGCCCTAATTCCTCCTAATTTGGTCATAATTTTGGAAGTGTGGAATCTTTGGGTTTTGTTTACTAGTTGTCTCCAATCAGTTGCAATCTCTTTCCCTTTGAAACGTCGTTTCTAAAAAGATATAGGACTGCAATAAAACATCAACAAAGAGTATCAATGTTTTTCTTTTGAATAAAAAGAAACAAAAAGGATGATCACTATGGAGCTGATATTATTATTATCCCGATCACACACTTTTAAAAATGACAGATATAGTATGACGATAGAAGAAAATGTCTTTAAAAATAATGAAATGCAATACTAAATACAAATGCCTCAATGTGCAGACGATCATAAATTACATTTGTAATGTGCATTCTAGAGCATGAGAATGCCATGGTACAACCACATAAAGTTATATTTTTTTTCTCGGAAACTTGATTTATCAGCTTTAAAAAAGAAAGAATAACAATTATGTATAAGGGCTATGTTAAAACAAAGGAAAAGTATGTTGAGAATCTTTGTTTCAGAATTTTTCCATAAATTTGACGAATGCTTATAAGTTTAGGTCGATAACATTTAATAATAATAATAATAGCTCACATTTATAATGCGCATTATTATTACCCCTGCCATCGGATTCAGGCTTACCCAGCACACAATGTATGCACATTCTCCCCTCCCTGGGGAGCATTCCGGCCAGTCGTCATTTTACAAGCGCCACTTGTTCATCCAACCACATTAACTTTCGCATCTTGGGTGGAGAGTGGCAAATGTAGATTAACGTCTTGCCAAAATACATTCGTGCCGTGTCGGCGATCGAACCACGAGATTCGAATTTTAAGTCAAGTGCTTAAACCATTCGACTACGACACTTCTATTTTAATAGGCCTTGCTCGGTAATGCCTTTTGCATGTCTTCAGAAAGGTGACTGACATCGTAAATGAACTGGCAGGTGATTTTCGGGGCGACGTTGGCGGCGCACTCGATCTCGAATCGCGACAGACTACTGTTGGAGCTGTCCTTCATCACCCGTTCCTTGCCGCCTGGGATCTCGACGTTGAGCTCCTCGATGAAGTACGCCAGGAGCTCCTTGAACAAGAGACCGTGTCCCACGACGAGCACGTGGGTGAGGTTGCCATCAGCCGACGTCGTTGCGTCTTTTTCGAGCTCGAGCTGCTTGTTGCAGATGTCGTGGAAGGCTTTGACAACTCGCTGTCTCGCCTGTCGTTAGAGGTGGATGGAAATTTGATTAGGCCAATATTTCATTATTTTTTTCAAATAGCAATACCTCAAGCACCAGAACGTTTTGACAGGTAACCAAATTGGATGTAATCTTGATTTCAGGTTATGTCATATTGTCACGGTAAAGAAATTATTATCCTTTGGATATGGCTTTTTTTTTTGGTCAACAAATTGAAGAAAAATTAATAACATACATAGTAATTTAGCGCCCAGGGAATTTCTTCTTATACCGGATACCCTTTTTCTATACCTGGATGGAAAGTGGCAAACGTAGACCAATATTTTGCCAAAGGACATTAGTGCCGAAGCGGGACCTGATCCGCGAACCAGGTGACTCACAGTTAAGCGAGGTATCCACCCCCGTATCCACTGGACCACGAAATGATAGACAGACACTAAATAAACACTTATTTAGCCAAAATACAAGTGCTAGAAAAACATTCAAGTATCAACTGCCTCAAATATTATTTCAGTTGTCAAGTAATTTGCAGTACGTCATGCCCGAAAGAGTGACAATGAATCTCATATTAAAGCATGTTGCCATAGTTGCAGGAAGACGATTAAATGTTAAAAACAAATTTCTATTTTTAAAAAAATGATTACAAAACATTATCATGATAATGGGTGTAGCATGGCTACATCAAGTTTCAGTTTCCGCAAAGATAAAGAAAAGAATAATATGATCAAATTTCTTTCAAGTATCTTTGAAGAGCTAGGGCGCTTGCTTAATGATATCTATTCATTCATTTAGAATAAATCAACATAATTGAAACTTGGCTTAGTATCAATCAAGGGGGCGTTCACTTTTCTATTTCAGGTTAATGAATGGAAATTGAAACCATAATAAACAATCGACTTCAAAACTAGAACCTTCTACGGCCATGAAAGTTTGCTGGTATTAAGTGGTCGAGGGTTTAATACACAACAGTTTCATATCATTAAGTAGTTGAACAATGACTTGTTTTGGAGCGCTCCGTGAAAGTTTTCCGTCTCGAAAACGGGAGCCATCGACGAGGTATCGTAGTTGAGTCGTTTAAACACTTGACTAGAAAGTGTCGGTCATGGGTTCAAGGCCCGGCTTGGCACTATTTCTAAATTTGACACTCTCTACCCGGGAGTTACACGGGTAGCGGTATATGAAGGAATTCCTTGATTGCATGTGAGCACATAAATAAGGTCGCCAATTTGTTACGTCTCCTGTAAATGCAAACCTACACATACTATATAGTAGAAATGTTTGAAACTTACGACTTGGAAAGATTCGCCCCCTTTCGGCACGTGACTTCGGAATGTAAAACCTTCAGAAAGCAGGAAAGCTCTGTACTCTGAAATCGTGATCCCTTCCTTGTCTCCAAAATTCTGGATAATTTAAAGTGGAAAAAAGATATATTAAACCACTGTATATAACTATTTATCTATTGCATTTGTTACACATGTTTATTGGCCATTAACGTCAGGGTCGTTACACATTGAATATGCAAATACGCAAATATTCAGTGTCTATTAGCAATATTGCTTTAAGCAGAAAGAGGGAAAGAGAGAGAGAGAGAGAGAGAGAGGGGGGAAGGAGAAGGAAGGAGAGAGAATGAGAAAGATAGACAGACCGAGACAGACTGAATGAAAGAGAAGGAGACAGAGAGAAAGAGAGAGAGAGACATACAGACATAGGCCTACACAGAGGCAGAGAGAGAGAGAGAGAGAGAGCGGAATCAGGAATACGGACATTGACCGTGTTATTTAAAGAAGGAATTCAAACATATACCCTTTTTAATCTATTTCATGTCTTTATATAGAGTTTTTCGAAGATGATACGAATTTTCACAAACAAAATTATATTTAATAACAGTTCATTCATTCAGGTTGTGGAATGTATTTGCATTGGAAAAGTATTGTGATTAGCACGAGAATAATCATGATGTTTTCACAAAGTGTAAATAACTGCATAAACCCATCTAACTATATTATAAATACTTAATGCCAGGGGCGTACGCAGGATTTTTTCAAGGGGGGGGGGGGGTTTAAAATCTGGCCCAAAATATTTTTTAAAAAAAGGGTGTTTTTTTAGGGGGGTTTACACACATAAAAATACCAAAAGGGGGGGGGGGTTTGAACCCCCAACCCCCCCCCCCCCCCCTGCGTACGCCCCTGCTTGATGCGCACTGTGATGTATGACTGGATCAAAAACAATATGATACTGTTTCAAGGGCAAAATAAAGTTGTTCGCCTTCACGACAATAAGAACACAACTTACCCGCTCTCTCAAACCAACTTCCTCGATCACATCACATGGGGGCGCCCTTAATGATTTGAGGATGATGTCAGTTGTCTGGGAAAATGAATCAAAACGAGTGATTGAAATAAAGATTACAACTGAGGTGGCGCTCTTCTGTCTGTGTTTGCTTTCACTAATAGTTTTATCGATTAATATAATTATTTCATTCGTACGTTCTGAGTTTCTTTCATGTTATTCACATTTATTTTAATGCAAATATTAAAAAAAGTGAAAAGGAGAAGGAAAAGAAAAAGCCAAATCATCTATGACCCCTGCCTGTTTCACAATAACTCGATATTACAGATATGCAAATTATGTCATTAAACATATGAATAACAAAAATACATATATATATATATATATATATATATATATATATATAGCTCAACATATCATTACGTGTCGGTCTCTGCAATGAACATTTAAGTTCACTTTTAATAGAAGAATATTATTTATTGGGAGAACAGGACGGATTACCTTGGCTTCGTTTGTCCCTTTATTGATTTCGAAGCAATTTCTCTAGAAAATCTAGCTTATAAACCACCTTTTCATTCCTGTGTACTACATTTTAATGCATATGGTATTAATCTACCCCATTCGGGCTAAGAAAGATATATGATTTATCCAGGATGATTTTTTAATTGATAAATACATCCGAAAACAATCCGCGGTATTAGTTAAAACGTTTCATTTTCATTCTTTAAACAAAATATCATTTTGTAGCATTGTGAAGGAAGTAATGGTTTCTTACCTGCGTGGCTCGTAAAAGATCGCTTGTGTACACATAATCTATTTTCTCATTCGACAAACGCTTGCTCAAGCTCTCCGCCTGTAGGACGCCATCTTCCGACAGGGGTGAGTTAGTTTGACCTGTGAATTGGAGATTAAAAAAGCACACGATAAATAAAGTATGTGCATATACTGCACTGTTATAAAATAGAACTAGATGACGAGTTTCATGTCGAGCAAATATGGAATATCGATTACATGAGTTATTTATCAGGGAATTTGTATAGTTTACTAATTATTATTGCAGTGATAATTCTTCAAATTGCCAAACAAGGACAAACATTATTTGTGTTGAAAGACAGCAATTGGTATGATGAACAATATGTATATCATCATATAATAACAAAGAAAATAAAAAAGAAGTAAAGGAAAAACAATAAGTAATACAACGAAACGAAATGAAGCAAAATCGAAAAACAAACGAGTCATCTTGATATCAGGGTGGACTTTCCCTTTAAGCTAAACAACATCATGACCAACAATGGTACTGGAAATACATCCCACTGATTTTTTTTTTTTTTTTTACGGATTGCAATTACGATGATTAAACCACGAAACTCAGAAATGATTTAACATTCCTGTATTGTTTACTCGTAAATTGTTCGTGTTAAAAGACAGCACCCTTTGATGGTCAAGATGAGTAGCGTAACAGTTACAGCAAAAGCAAAACAATAACGAAGTAAAAGAATAAAACAAAGACGAAAGAAATGTAAGAAAACGAAACGAAATGAGCGGCAAAAAAGAAAAAAGAAATCAAAACAAACATACAGAATCAAGCAAGCAAGCAATTAGCCACAACCACACAATTTTAGTATTTATTCTTTATTATAATGTAAGAGCCATTTCTGATGGCGTTTTAGAAAAGCCAAATTTGGAACGAGGCCATGATATTTGTTTTCTTTAAAGGCCCACTGCACTACTTGTAGCTACTTGCGCCCTCTATATAACAAACAATGCCTAATCGGTGACCATTGGTCCCCCATGATCCTCGTTTTCTTATGTTAACTGAGAGCTGAGTTGATGAGATAACCACCTGTCCAGTGACCTTGCAGGGCAGTCTAATCCCTCCTGTAAACTACGGCAGATAAGCTTTAAATGACAGTGCATAATGATAGATGATGAAATCATATTTAATTAGGCCGGCATTATTGCGTTGAAAAGGGGGAACAGTTTGAAAACTGACATTACCACATACAAATAGAAAAAGAAAGAAAAAACTTAAATGAACGGTACGTGCTTTGTTGTTACACAAGTTTATAATAATACTCATTTTGTACAAGAATAACACGGAGCACTTAAAATGGGAGTCTACCCTGATACGGAGTTGGTTTTAATAGAAGCAGACATTATTAAAGAAACGGGTTAATGAAAGTTTGAGCAAAAAAAAGATTAAAGATAAGAAAGTTGAGAATTTTAAAAGATAATATCAATCAAACACAAATTGGCAACTCCGCGACATATCTTGCGAGCTCTCCTCCTACTTGCCCAGTAAAAAAAAAAAAATTAAGTTTCCTTTTAAATAATTTTCAATCAAAGATTTACCCTAAATATAGTTAGTGTACATATGTTGTTATGCAATGCCTGTATGACATAGGTCTATTCCGTTACCGATAGCAAGAAAATAAAAGTTTATGAAATTTTCTGTACAGAGCAAATTGGAGACAAGCTCACAAAATAGGTCATCGTGTTTTTTTTTTTCTCTTTTGTCGGCTTTTATTAAAACCAACTTGATATCAGGTTGGACTTCCCCTTTAAGTTAAACAACGTCATGGCCAACTACAGAACCGGACATCCATCCATCTGAAAATGTTTTTCTGACTGATTGCAATTACGATGATTATATCTCAAAGCTGAGAAATTATTTAACATTTAACATTCATTCGTAAAAATGTTCGGTCATAATTAAGATAGCAGCTGGAAATATCACTCTTTTTTTCCTGCTAGATTATGATTACCCTTTTCTGCTTATTAATCATGAAAAAGGCAATGCATTAGGTAAATTAAAATATTGTCTATACCCTTTACTAATTTTAACAATTTACCAGGAAGTCCGAGACATGATTAAAAAAGGATTGAAGACCCCAAAACTGAGGATGTAGGCCTATTCCTAATAAGGCTGGGCGATAAAACTATTTGTCATGGGCAGATTGATAATGATAACTATGATAATACAAATTGGCGGCGGGGTGATTAAAAAAGGGGGTGGAAAGTGACGAAGTAAACTTGCCTCTGATACTGAAAGAAGAGTGCCCTATATTATCGCTATACGTGTATTACTTTTTTACTTTTACTTTATCAGCCGTTGTCAATCCACTGCAAGATGAAGGCCTCAGCATGATGTTTCCAAATGCCTCTGTTCAGCACCTGTTGGTGCCAGTTTGTCTGTCCCCAGGACTGTTGCAGCTCGTCTCGCCATCTTTTTCTTTGACGTCCCCTGTTCGTTTTCCCTCATATCGTGTCCAGTGAGTGATTGCTGAGCTCCAGCGATTGTCATTCCTACGGCTGATGTGGCCTGCCCAATTCCATTTCCTTCTTTTCACTGTTTCAAGGATGTCCTGGACTTTTGTCTGTTCCCTGATCCATTTGTTCGTTTTGCTGTCTTTGTATGTGATGCATAGAATACTCCTTTCCATGTTGTGTTGAGAGGCTGCTAGCTTTCCATTTTTGATGTTAGTGTCCATGTTTCTGCAGCGTATGAGATTGCTGGGATGATGCACTGGTTATATACTTTCCTTTTCAGGCATAATGGAAGTTTGCCTTTCATGATGGTGCTGTATCTGCCAAAGGCTTGCCATCCAGCTTTGATTCTTCTTCTTATTTCGTTGTCTTGATTTTTGTCTTGGAGGGAGAAACGTTGCCCTAAGTAAATATACTCCTCTACTTGTTCCATTTTGGTACCGTTCACTTGGATTTGTATTGGATCTTTGGCTGATCCTGTCATGACTTTAGTCTTCTTCATGTTCATTTTGAGGCCTGTAAGTCGGCTTGCATCGTCCAGTTCTTGCATCATTATTTCGAGGTCGTTTAAGTTGTGAGATATGATGACAATATCGTCTGCAAATCGTAAGTGACTCATGTTTTCCCCGTTTATGTTGATTTTATTTGATGACCAGTCTAATGTTTTGAAGATGCTCTCTAGGCAAGCAGTGAAGAATTTTGGTGAGCCGGTGTCTCCCTGTCTAACTCCCTTTCTCATCATGATTTTGTTGCTGGCCTTGTGCATTCTGACAGTGTTGTAGCAGTCTGATTAAATGTCTTTAAGGATTTTGATGTATGCATTGTTGATTCCTTGGTCTTGAAGTGCCTTCAGTACTGAATAGGTTTCTACGGAATCAAATGCCTTTTCGTAGTCTACGAATGCTACGCATAGAGGGATGTTGAATACTTGGCATTTTTCTTTCAGTTGATTAATGGTGTGGATGTGGTCCGTAGTTGAGAAACCCCTTCTGAAGCCTGCCTGCTCTCTTGGTTGGTTGTTATCAAGGATTTTCTCTAGCCGGTTGGTGATGATTTTTGTGTACAGCTTATACAGGTTTGAAAACGTATATAAATACATTGAAAATTAATACTAATGGGAGCGAAGAGAGAGAGAGAGTGAGCGGGGGGGGGGGGGGGCAGCTGAAAACAGAAAAGTGAGAGTGAGTAGTTAAGGGTAAGAAAAGATAGATGAAGAGTGAGAGGGGGGGGGGGCAGCCGAAAACAGAAAAGTGAGAGTGAGTAGTAAAGGGTAAGAAAAGATAGATGAAGAGAGGAAGGGAGAGAGAGAGGAGGGGGGTTGAGAGAGAGAAAGATAGACATATAAGTGTCTTTCTTTATCTCTCTCTCTCTCTCTATATATATATATAGAGAGAGAGAGAGAGAGAGAGAGGCATAAAGAAAGAGAGAGAAAGAGATAGATAAGGAGGGGGCTGAGGTCGAGAGCAAAAATGAGAGAGAAATATACGAGTAATAAAGGTAGATGAAGTCTGGTTGTCTGTGGAAAATGCGGGTTAAGAAAAGTTGAGAGCAAAACAAGTACAGACACCTATTAAACGGACCGTTTTGGCGTTGGTCTGTGCTGCAGTATTTTTAACAACATAATTATAACAATAAGTTATTTTTTTAGTGTTAGACATGTATTTTTTTTTAATTTCATACTAGAACATGAAAAGTACATCTTACCTTGTACTAACTTCTGTTGATTGTATTTGCTTTCTCCACTGTAGATAAAAGAAAAAATGGACAGGTCTCATTTCAATAAATATTTGAAAAATATGGATGACATATTTTGACATTTCATAACTTTTTAGCGCAGCTGGAGGGTTGTTATGAGATCGTTAATGTTACATGTAAAACCGCTGTTAGTGTGTCATACTGTTATCACTCTTTCCCTACAACCAGCCCTAAATGTGACTTAAAAGAGAAGGTTGAGTTCTGAAAAGAGGTGAACAATAATAATGAGCGTTATCATTGTTATAATGCAAGTGTCGAAAGAACTTCAGAGAAAAAAAATGTTCCCTGAAAACCGTGGCTCTTCAAATGCTTTCATATTCTAAATAACAGTAAGTAACACAGCTCAAAAATGAGACCCGATTTTTATGCCACATGTCTGTGTAGTCCCATATAAATCTTTCTGCGTACTGTGCTTGTTTACTGTGCCTAATTTCTTATCATTATGATGACTCCATAACCTTTCAGTACACACCAATACTTATATGCTACATTATCAAATTTTTCTGATCGATTCCACACCGTTTCTTTCACAATGCAGCCGCATGACCAGAACTCAACTTTATCTTAAAATTTGTAGAGATTTCATGGTCTATTTGAGTCGTCATTTTGACTGTGGATTACAATGGTTCACAGTTCAAGTTCTGTCGTGGCACTACTGTCATTTGGCAAGACATTAATCTGCATTTGCTACTATTCACCCAGGTAATGTAAACGAGTATCCGGTATTAAGAAATAACTCGATATCCAGAGCGCCTTCTCAGGGCCGAATATATAGGCTCAGGCATGCCAGGGGGTAATGGAAGTACCGCGCTTATAGGCAACATAACATAATTATTTATGTTTAAAGACCGTCAACACTACTGGGCCAGAGGGGATTAGACCACACAGCGAGGTCACTGACAGGTGGCTATCTCATTAACCCAGCTCTCAACTAACATACGAAGAAGAGGATCATGGGGGACCAACAGGCACCAATTGGGGAAGTTTTCTATATAAAGGGAGCAAGTAGCCACAAGTAGGACAGTGGGGCTTTAATTGGCGTTGCCTCGTTGCGACGACGTCCTAACATACATCGAGCAGCACTGTACACAGATATGTATATACGGGACTTAATGCACACGCTTGACATCAATGTTTCAACCAAATCTTATACTATTTCTTCTCATAATTGCAACAGACGGCACTCAACAAACGCTCTTTTTCTTTTGATAATGGTCATTAACGAATTAATTTTCAAAAACGAATGACAAAGCCCATCATTTCACGTTACCGTGGCCAAATCCCAAACATATAATTCAAGCCAATTTCTTGGTGGAAAATGCGACGAGAATAACTTACGATGGGAGCAAATGTGAACGCTCCCTTCTGTCCATGACCTTAGTCAAACATTTTCAATTTAGGTAATGGACGTGTAAGCAAAAAGGCGCTCCTTTCAAAACTATCTACATGAAGATTCACTCTCCTAAAGTTATATCTATCTATCTGAGTATCTTCTCCCGGTTCGGAGGTTGATTGCAACATCTCTCCATTTCACATTTCCAAAAACACGGACAAAATAATCATGTCGTGTTATACTTACTGCCGCACTAAACTTCAGATAAATTTCACCATCTTGATTTAAAGTATGTCTTTCTGCTCTTCCTCTGAAGGGTTAGAATGGCTCTTTCAAGTTGGGTGTGTGTATCAGTTGCCGGTGTCACAACACACTAATCATTACGACCTTCTAAATGCGCTGTATATATAAGTATGGTACTACCTGCAAACAAAATCAATAAAGTCATGTTATACTTACTGCCGGACTAAACTTAAGATAAATTTCACCATCTTGATTTAAAAATGTCTCGCTGTTCTTCCCCTGAACGGTTTGAATGACTCTCTCAAGATTGCTGAATGTATCAGTTGCCGATGGCTTAACAGAACACGCTAATGATTAATACCTCCTAAATGCGCTGTATATATATATGGTAATACCCGCATTGTTTTCAAAACATCGTCATGGCGATAAACCCATGACTCCTGCTACGTCTAAATTTGATGTGGGCTGCAAAAGGGATACACTACCTTTAAAAAAACAAAACCTGCATTTTTTATTGAATATACTGGTATTTGCTATGGCGATAAAACTCGCAGGCAGATCTTTTATTAATACACGTATACGGGTATAGCTCACTGCACAAGCACCCTTAGCAGATGAATCAGCGAATTTTTAATGGAGTTTTATGGATTTCCGTTTGTACCCGTATATCCTCAAGGTTCATAACTACCTTTCTTTTTGTATAATAATTATGAAGAATTAAAGTACATAACGCGGAGTTCTCTAGATAGAATAGGACAGTCTCTGACTAATGGCGAAGCAACATTTTGGGGGCGGGGGGGGGGGGGGGGGAGGGGATCACAAAAGCCCCGTCTCCTCCCCACTCCATCAAATAATGAAGAAAGGAAAATAAATAAATATAATTTCTCAAAGAGAAGAGAATAAATGCGAGGAAGGGGGATCGATGATTTTGTTCTTGATTTTTTTTTTTACTAATGATTAAAGTTTTCATACGGTAAATTAGTCAGTCAGTCAAGCAATCAATTAATCGAGTATTCAATCAATCATTCAATCAATTAGTCAATCACTCATTCAGCAAGTTAGTTTGTAAATCAACCAACTAATCAATGCCTCATGCTACCATCCGAAGAATACTAAATCGATCACCTAGGCATAACAAATCAATCAATCAATCAATCAGTTAATCATCAAATCAATTTATTAGTCAACCATTTATTAAAATCATCAATTAACAACTTGATCAATCAATCATTTAATGCTTCAATCATGAAACAAATTAATGAATCAACCAGAGCTTAGATTTGAACGAATTGGATGGGATGTTAATATTTAGGCACTACCAATCTGAAAAAATTACATGTTTCTATGCAAATTTTGAGCAATTTTTTTGGGGGGAGGTAACTCCATAACTTCCCCTGGAATCCTACGTAATATCATAAAGAAAATACTATACACAATGCACTAGTTAGTCATCACTCTATTTTTCTACTGAATATTCATCAGGCTTGACAGATAAAGGCGAAAAGAAAGAGAAAAAAACGAGTGAAATGTTTTAAAGTTTTCATATTTGAATGAATACGTGAGCACCACACATTTAATTTATTCACATTTTTACAGACTCGTCATTATTTCTACATATTTTTTACCTGACATATATAGCTGAGGAAAACGTTAAAATCAGTTTAACAAGCAAAATGTAACACCTTATACGTAAATAACCGAAAATCACAATTTATATCAACATAACTGTTTACATAATTGCCCTGATGTTATCAACTCTATAAACCTACATTCCTTGTATGACAAATACCTGCCAAAGGTTCTTCATTAACCAAGGAAAATCAAAAGTAGGAATGTTCTCCTTTGTAAACGTTTCCTTTAAATTGGCAATTTTCTTCAATTTCAGGGACTTCCCCATTTGTGATTGGATATGGAACATTGCGCTCGAACCCGGACACACTGCTTCCCTGAGATAACAATCATGCACTAGGACTGCTATTCAGTGGCACACAAGAAAAACTAAAGCCTCCATACAGTTGATTTGAAATAAAATTTATAAAGATGTAAATCCAGACCTTTCGATCTTTTACCCATAATATTTCAGATACACCGCCTTTTATTTTCCTGATTTGAGCATCCATAAATGTACACTATGAAGGATATTGCCTTTTTTTTCTTTCAAGATATTTATAGAAAAAGCCTGATGACGAAGCCAACATCCTTTATCGCAATTAACAGTATGAATCTTTATACAAATCTGGGGAGTGTTTCACAAAGACTAAGATCGACTTTAAGTTTGACTTAACTATGGCAGGTCATTTATGCCACTGTTTGCTCTCACCATTATGTTCTTTAGATGATATTTTTTCCTTCAATAATAATTATCAAAAGATTGTCAATGCTGTAGATTTTTGACCATGATTTGTACGTCCCATGAGAGGCAAATGCCAGTAAATGGTGAGAACAAACAGTGGCATGAACAGCCTGCCATAGTAAAGTCCAACTCAAAGTCAATCTTAATCTTTGTGAAACATTCCCTGGATATGCAAGCTGCAGAAAGGGGTATCATGTATAAATTCATGGCTCAAAGTTCGCACACACAAGAAATGGCAAGACGATGAAAACACTGACTGCGACTACATTGTGCGATGATTCTTTAAAGGGATTGGGTATCTTTGCCTCAGATTCTAAATAAAATGCTGGAATTAGCTCATGCTGTAATAATAATTGTAAACCTTTATGTCAGTCAGGAATCCCATGACTTTTACAAGCCGATAGCCTGTCTGATTATCAAGATATTTATGACTGGAATCGAAATTCAAAAAACGTTTTCTTAACGGTTTTTACTACAGTTTACTGGGAAAATGAGTTTGGTAAAACCGGTCACTCAAACTTGTTTACTATTTTGAGGCACTTCATGATCATTTTAAAGCGCTTTTTTAGGGCTTCAATATAACACCATATCACAAACACTGATAATACGTAGGGCCATGCATCTCAGATTTAACATTGTTAAACGATGCCTTTAAAGTACCTGTCGTAAACAAGGCAGAGAGAAGCTATGATGAACTGCTAGAATTGACTATAGTCTAGTGTTTCCCTTCCCCAAGGCCCATGTGCCACTCAAGACAAGAGGAACTTTGGAACCATCAACAAAATGTTTCCAGTAGAACGATGATGACAAGGACGATGACGACTATACGACGATGACGATGATAGGTGTTATGTTCGATGGATAAAGCACTCGGTTTTAGAATTCATTATTTTGCTACTGATAACAATTCTGAGTAATATTTCAACCAGAAATCAACTTGTAAAGCAATGTGATTACATTTATAAAACATCATTTTCTAACTTTTCTAACTTAAACAAAATATATATCGTAATTTCGATCTACTTGTATAAATAGATTTCAAACCCACTCACTTCTCCTACGACCATGTACTACGCCCGGTTTATGCCATTTGTTTTTAATTAAACACTACATGTACAACATGGCTATTTGTGATGTGAAATACAAAGACCACAAGGACAAATGTGCAATTAATTAGCCTTATTACACAGGAAGGAATCCTAGGTTACGTAACAGTGGAACGCTTGTGGTGTGGACGTGTATATAGAAGGACCCTAGGACATATGCCGGATACGATGTGGAATACGACAATTAATCATATGGGAGTTGCTTAACGCATCATTATCATATTTCTGTCCTAACAAAATGCCACCATGATCTCAAAGGCTTCCTATAAACCAATTCTAATGTCATTTCAATACCCAATTGTATGTGCTACACAAAAATCATGTTCAAATTATAGAAGACGTCCATAAATTGAATGTTCGCAAGTTTCAAAACATAGTAGACAAGGCTACTGAAAAACGCTTAGTTTTAAATCTCGAAAGTTATTGCCACCGTGTTTACTGTTGCCAGAAATGTTTATCATCACCATTATTTTTTAATGAAGTCGGTTACATTGTAAATAAAATCACAAGGATCAGTTCAATGAAAGTCTTAGCAAATTCCGATTTAAACAAGGAAAGTTATGGATTTTTGAAAGTACGATCTAGCAAATACGAGTTGGCAAAACTGTGACGTATTTTGTGAGGGCCTCTCCTATCTAATCTTGACAATTTTTATTTTAATAAACTGTCCTGTTCTTCGTTATTGATGACGGAATAGATGTATGCTTGAACATTTTCGTCAGGGCAAATAAAACTTTCTGAAAGTACAGAGCAAACCTAGGGGAGCTCGCAAGATACGTCGAATAGTTGCCAATTAATGATGTTTATGATTGATCACAACTTTCTTATTTTCGATAGGAATTTCTCCAACTTAATTTCACGGACCTGTTCCTTTCAAATATCTGCTTCTGTTAAATACAACTTCATATCAGGGTGGACTTTTCCTTTAAAGTGCTAGAATGGGCGTGTAGAAAAAATGCAGGCACTATGAAGGGAGTGTGAAGAAAGAGAATCCTCCTTTGTCATCACGATCATTGTTGCTTTCTACAAACCCATCTACATCATTCTGGTTTGTTATGTCGAACTCCCAAACAATCTGCATGGGTATTTTGAAATATTCCCTCATTTAACAAAAAATGTATAACTAAACACTAAATGTTTTAAATGACAGATGAAGTCAGTGGAAAGGCGAAAAACAAAATATGCACTAGACTTTGACATTTCAGTAGCTTATATATTAATCAATGTCACCTATAAACATATTACTCGGGAATGAAACGAAATGCAGAACAAGATTTCTTTTTACAGAAAGCAGAAGGCCAATTGAAGAACATCAATTAAATTCATTTATCAGCATTGACCTTTTATATTCATATTTCTCTATAACAAGATTCAAATTTGTTTTTAATTAATAAATCGTGTTAATGTTACTTGAGAAAAGGTACACAACATGTTTTGATGCACTACCAGATCTTCCATAATCGCTACGGCCCACGAAAGTCGACAACCAGTGAGATCAACTGCCGACGAGACCGAGACTCTACGAGACCGATATTTTCGGTCTAGCGAAAGTTCCGAAAAGTTGGCAGAGGGCGCACGAGAACGACGGCCCATAATATCTTCTGTCAACTTGTCTTAAGTTCATCAGACCGAAATTGTCAGTCTCGTGGGGTAGTCGGTCACCTGGAAAGGCGATTAGTTGTGATTTTATATTTTTATCACATTTGACCTTTCATTGCTTCACTCATCATAATTATGAATGACAAACCAAAATGATAATTGATTTAAAGGCTCAGAGTAGTGGGTTTTCGTGGGGACTTTGACACCATTCGGATATTTATCCAATAACAGGGGTTGTCGGTCACCAAGAGTGGACTTCAGCTTGACGACCGACAGCTCTTGTGTAATGCATTGTGCCCTGAAATGCCTTTCACCCTCGAGATAATGAAGACAAGCTGGAGTATTTTCCGGCGGGTCAACGGGTTCGCTGCTTCGGAGACCAGTGCGCAAATTAGTCGACAATTCAACCGAATCTGGTGACAGCGAATTATGATGCAATACATACGGACGCTGGCTACTACGTGACATAACATCAAGATTACTAATGTGTTGCTATATCTACCATGTAAATAAGAAAACTATAAGAAACTATAAGAAAGATATGTTACATAAATTAACTGACACAGAAAGTTATTTCCAAATGCAAATTTCTATTCACTCGTCACAATCAAATTTTATTTTGCATTTAGTCAGAAAAGATACAAATGATATTCATTTTTGTCAAATTATATGTATAATCAACATATGTATGTATATAATATGTATATATATATATATATATATATATCCAATTGATCGTGGATCGCACTGAACTTGGTAAGATGTTTATACATCTGTGTTTACTTCAGGTGTACCCATGTTACCACTATGAAACCCAAAACAAATCTTTCCAAATGCGAACAAAATACGTTTTGCAAATTGATGTCACTTTTAAATCAACAAATTCCGTATCATAGTGAGATATATAGTAAAGAAAAAAGCTTTATCAAGGGAAGGGAATTTTTCGTTGATGTCTTTTCTGTTTTTTATCAAGTAAAATGTCTTTTGAAAAATTTCGGATCAAGTACACACGGACGCCAGTTCTACGAGTGTGCATCCATACACACAACATAGTTGACCCATGGGAAGTTGACCTCGATTATGGATCGATCGCCGGAACCGGCTGGAAAAGATGATATCGGTTAGGCTTGGGCGCAGTCGCTCTGCTCCTTGTCGTGCGACGTCGTACCATTCCAAGGGCATATCTGTAAAAATGATTCAAAGGAAGTGACTCGGGTTTAGTCTAAGTATGAATGTAAAGAATTCAATCTCTACCCTTATTTGAGAACAACAGATGTCCTCGAAAAACGAGAGAGCGTTCAGATTAGGTAACATTTCGTAACAACCCTCCTTATATATGTTATACAATAAAGTAATGACTTTAATTTGATATAAAATCACTAATATCATGTTGTTATTATCATGATGTAGGCAGTTTGTAAAGTAAATCTGGAAAAATACCACGAGAAAAACAATCAAATCAAATCGTTAGAAATAAGGATAGAGGTGAACTTATTTTCCCACGAAATCCTATTCGGCATAACAATACGGAAAAAATACTCTGAGTCATTAATGATTAGAATCTAAGTAAATCTTGTAGCGGAAACAGAGGGATGCATGAATAGCCACATGGGACCTCATTAGTAGATTCATAATGTTGATATAACTTGGCTAGTTAAAATGTTGTTGAAAATTAATGATGAATTCGCAAAAAATAAAGTTTGTTATTTTCATTTTCTAAGTTTAAAATAATTTGAAGATTATAGTAAAAGCCCTTATCTGATAATCACCACAAACAAATACTTTCGCATTTAATAGGTGCCAAAATTCCTTTACTTTAATTCAAAGCAATGATATTGTGTAATTTGACGTAAAGTGTCGATCACCTGTCATTGATCTGTTTTGATATGGTATGATGTTTTCTTTGACTTCATATACATGTAGGTAGAATATGAATTCAACAAAAGTATATATACATGTCTGTGATTGAACGCAGTCTGATCAAGTAAACTAACTATATACGAACGAATTCAGTTTATGTAAGAAACAATGGATTGCTTGTAAAAGGTATCTGTGTTACACCAATGGAAGGTGTTAAGGGGGCGTCACTTGCGGTTCCCAAGGCAACCTCATACCTTCTGCTTGTTCGTATCCGGTGTCACGTGCTAGATATCTGGCGGCCGACGCTGACTCAGCGACGGCGCCCGGATCGGAGCGTTTATTCGCCATGGAGCACTGAGTGAACACCGCCCTCGCAAACTCCAAGCCGCAGTACCGGTTACGGGGGCCCTGTTGCGCCTCGGCCGGCCCTGCCCCGAGGAGTAAGAAGACGGTTGTGACGGCTGCAGCTGCGGCAACGAGATTGGTCGTGTGAACCATGGCTGAAGTGCAAATAAAAAGAAGTAGACAAAAAGAAAGATGAATGAGAGAAAATTGATTTTTATAAAAAGGTGGCAAATATATCCTTGTTTACAAGCCTGCTCAGGTGCAAGTTTGGGCGATGGAAAGTGACGTATACAGTTCATTTATATAGGCTAAGTAGTAATTTACTCAACATTGTGATGATAAAGGAATATAATATAGAAATATACGCAATGGCAATCGAATGCGATTCACTAGCATGTTATTACATTTCATAATATGGTGTAGTGGATCCTAATCAAATGATTGGTTGATAGCGTACACGTGACCATGCAGGCATTTATTTTGCCCGACACGTAACTTTACTAATGACCGGTCATTAGTAAGTATTTATGACTGGTCTTAAGTAAAATCATATTATAAAACATCATCTCATAAAACAAATAATATACTTCATTTTGTTCGGGGATTATTAAAAATTACCCACACTCGGTCTAATGCCTTCACTGCTGTGTATTACTTGTATATTATTACCCTTTCAATTGCCACAAGCGCCAATTGGCTCGGACGTAGGCATGACGAATGTGCCGATCTGCACAAACATGAGCCAATTGGTAATGGACAAGGCTATACAAACTGCCTAAATTGATAACTCGAAATTCTTTGCAAAAAAATGCTCAATTTTGTTCTTTTATTCTATTTTCCCTTGTTAATTGTGGTCAATATTTCCTTGCTTCGATTTGAAATATCCCCCCCCCCTGTTCTCTTCTCTTATTTGTCCACGCTTAAAGGTATTACAAAGTTTTGGTATGAGGTCATGAATTTGGTTCAAATGAACATATTGGAAGCATATGTGATCCTACAATATTCAGTAATCGTTGTCGCGGTTGAAATCGAGTCTAGTTATGAAATTGTAAATAATAAACTCTTTATGTTGTATAGCTCCCTCTCAAGGTCAATATATTAATTAATCTATAAAACAATGTTTCTTGACTAAAATCGACCAATTAGCTATTCCCATTTGAAAATTATATATCACAACTACATATAATGAGATTGTCATGGTCGCAGCTACCATTGCACGGCCGTATGCTCTATTTTAAATTTATCAAAATTTACCGGGAGCACCGGTAAATTGTTATATTCAATTTTTCTCAAAAAAATAAGTGTTTTAGGGGCTTAATTTTCTAGTGCTTAAAAGACATCCACAGGGGCACCTAAATATATCAATTTTGTAAAGAATCACTACCCTGCCAATATTCGAAATTTCCCAAAACTTTGTATTACCTTTAATTTTTTTTTCTCCTGCATTGGCAACCATTAATATATTTATTAATACTTTACTAATACTTCCATTGTTTATATGGTTTAAAAAATGATTGAATTATTTGCTGTTTTGCCGAAATACAACTTGTCAATGCTATTTTCTATCATATTAATAAATGTTTTTAATATTTATAGGCCTATCCTATTTTTTATATTATGTATTTCAATAAATTTTACTATGTTTACTATATTTTCACTATATTTAATCATATTATATTATATTTATATCATATTTCAGTATATTTCATCATATTTATATCATGATTATAATCCTTTGATATTTCTTTACAATATGTTTTTTTAAACTTTATATTTACATATACATGCATACGAATTTCATATAATTTGTCTCTACTCGGTGTGTCATCTGTAATCTACTACATGTATTTCGTTATTCTTTATATGATATATGGTTTTGTTCTTATGATTACTCTGTATTTTGTTATTTTATATGTATGCACGTCCCCATTGTAAAACAGCCAAACAGCTGAACTGGGCTTTTACCGTGAATATTTTAAATGAATCTGTTCAAATCAAATTAATTAATGATTATACACTTAAAGGGGAAATGTAAACGGAAATCGAAATTGGTTTTACATGAACTATGGCGTCGAAAGTAATGATTTATTCCACAATTAATAAGAGACCATCAATCGCATGAACCCTCTGGTAAAAACTTGCAGCAAAACACCTTTCCATTTTTAACAATAATCGTGTGGCTGTCGCAGGAAATAAGTGGGAATCGGAAGCGACTTATCCTTAAACCTCGCGATTGATCAACAATCTTTCGTCGTATTTTGTGTTTTTCTATGTTTTAGTTCTGCTAGGCATTCGTGAGACATGAGTTGGTGGAGAGACGGAGGGTTAATAGCGGAGCTGGGTGGGGGAGAAGTTTATTTATTTATGTTTGTCAACAGCATCGGTTTAGATGATGGAGTAGGTTGCTATTGCTCGGAAGTTCGGAACACCTGTCCCGCTCGCGCAAAACAAGGGAGGGAGATGGATCGCAGTCATTCGCGACGATACTTGTCAGTTTCCTGACGCGGCCGGGGGCGTGTGGGAGGGAGACGCCTGATGGAAAAAGTAGAAATTAGAGCAATATTTCATCGATACATCTGCCAGAATTTGATTCTTGTGACCCAAATAAAGTGCACTGATTGTGTAAGTCCGCCTTAAAATGAAATGAAAATGTGTTTACGATAATATTTCATCGGAAATTAATCATTTGGATTTATATTTATATGTAACGGTCATCAAGATCAATCCTTCATAATTATATGGTTGCGAAGACATTAAATGAAAATGAAAGTCATGATTGAGATTGATCGAAAGATTAATGACTGGTTAATTGATCAGCTAAAACTCAACAACCGTTTATCCATTATCCTTTTTTATTGCAAATTAAGGTGTGGTCCTAATAAATACAATAAATATAAAACAATCATCATAAGGACTTCGTGTAGATGATGGCGCTTCAAGATTTTTAACCAGGTGGAAGCCGAGCAAACTAGTTGAAAGATAATTTTAAAAAATGATTATTCATTCATTTACCCTTTTTAAACAAAATTATGACTATATGAATATTTATATTTTTTATAGCGACTAACGATTTATTTATTTATTATTATTTATTTATAACGACATTCCCGTCAGGCACCATTTTACAGATGCACATGTGCTAATTCAACACACTTACGTTTACATCCTACATTAAGGACTTTTAGATTTGCGTGGACTGATACGTGTGACATCCATTCAAGGCAGTGCATTAAAAGGACGTCGATCGTAGCAATCCACGTTGTCGTTCGGCGAATCTAAAAGTCCCCATTGGTATCCATTTAACACCTGAGGGGAGGGGGGGGGGGTAGAATCAATGTAGATTGAAAAAAGATACATTTCCTACGAGCAAAGGCTATGGCCGGATCCAACCCATGATCTTCGCAGTTCCAGTCACAAATCACTCGACTACGACAGCACTACGATAGTTTAAAGGAATAACTATTCTCCACACTGAAATTAGTTTAATAATATAATCGAATTGAAAAAAGGTACACCAAAGGCAATTTCAAAAGCTTTCTCCATCACCTCGTGAAACGGGGAACATCACTTTGTAATTTTTCTACTTGCATGTTTATTTTTGTATTTTTCTTAATTATTTGACAATCTTGTAGTTTACTGAATTTATCCTCATAAAAGTACTAAATGAATATATTGTAAAATATCGTGAGCAATTCGACCAAAAATGATAAAAGGGATAAATTGAAACTGCCCTTGTCTTAAAGTACGCGAGAGTAGTTGGGACCAGACTCAGCCTATCAAAAACTCACGGATTCCAATATATTTAGATACAAATATTTTTTTGGAATCGTTAATGTTTGACTTTCTTAAATAATACATGCCCATTTATTTTAGGCGGACGACACTTCGTCACCATCTGACGGCTAAATGTGGACTTGTCTGCTCTGTAAATAGCATAAGAGCATTGCAGTGTTTACCTATAACGGATATGTTTCCATTATACCCATTAGCACGACACAATGGCAAAAGGCGAATCAACAATTGTTTCATATTATACTAGAAGAAAAAAAAGGATCGGATCAATAAAGAGTGTGAAGTATATGGAGGCAGGTTTGACGAATGAAATGGCTGGGAATCGATAAAATGGATCAATAATTTGGCAAATAAAAACGTCGAGCGGCGATAATGATGATTCATTCATAACAGATGGAGAGGTTCGTGAACTTGCAGATCGCACATGTTGATTTTTGAAACTGTGCAGGCTGGGCGTTTCCATGCGTTACGGAGTGACATTTCACAGAGCATTTTCAATTTATCTATTATTTTTTTTGGTTGGGGTTGATTGAAATCTACAAGTTAATGATATAGTATATGAACTAACATAAGTAATATGATGTACATTCAAACAGCTGGAGTTCTTGATTATCAAATTTAGCATTTGAAATATGGCATGATTAGCCATGGGTGATGAGGAAAGGACGAATAGTTAAGACAATGTTGAAATAGTCTATCAAGGGTGACGAATCAATGTTTTCCGAATAGAAGGTGATCCCCGCAACCTTCTCAATCCCGGCCCCTACCCCCTTCCATTTCCCAGTCATCGGAGTATAACATCCATTTGGAAGAAAACCTTAGTTAAGGCGTGCATGATTTAAACAACTTTAATTCCACCTTCCAGTATAACCTTCCTGTACTATTAACATGATGCATGCTCCCATTACCCCTAACATGTCTAAGTCAAAATAGTTAATCAATTATTAAAACACAAGAAATAAATGGTGTCTCTAGAAAGAATTGTACACCTGCCGTAGTGACTATACTGATGGATTGGGCGGCTTTTGATTTTTTTCCCTTCTTCTTAATCCTTTCTCCGGCTGAATTTTTTTCCTGACAGCATTCAAATGTGAGAAATTATATCCGTAGGGTTCAAAATGAAAGTCGAGTTTGGAATTTAAACGGATGTCCGATATTTAATATATTGAATGCGATACGTAACAAGTTTTGTTTCAACACGTCCCTCGATATTACTTCGTGTGATATTCGTCCAGCCCAGCCGAACGACCGTCGGTCGCCATCGGAAATACCCGAAGTATTCCGATTCAAATCTTGGATGAGAAAAAAAGGTTCTTACATTCGCAATACGGCTAAGTGCGTTGTGTTGCGTCTTTGTGCTTTT